GTTGTTTTGTATTGCACTTGGTCATTTCTTTTTTTTTTTTTTTAAGATTTTATTTATTTGACAGAGAGAGACACAGCGAGAGAGGAAACACAAGCAGGGGGAGTGGGAGAGGGAGAAGCAGGCTTCCTGCTGAGCAGGGAGCCCAATGCATTGCTCGATCCCAGGACCCTGGGATCATGACATGAGCCGAAGGCAGACACTTAATGACTGAGCCACCCAGGCGCCCCATCACTTGGTCATTTCTTAATCCTTATATACAACTGGGCTTATTTCTGAGGCTTCTCTTCTGTTTCACTGACTTATATTTCTGTTTCATTTGCTCTTTCCTTTCTCATTTTTAGAATATTTTTCTTATCCTCGCCTCCTTACTGAATATTATAACATTCTTTAAATTTATTTTATTTTATTTTATTTTTTTTAAAGATTTTATTTATTTGAGAGAGAGAGAATGAGAGACAGAGCACATGAGAGGGAAGAGGGTCAGAGGGAGAAGCAGACTCCCTGCTGAGCAGGGAGCCCGATGTGGGACTCGATCCCGGGACTCAAGGATCATGACCTGAGCCAAAGGCAGTCGCTTAACCAACTGAGCCACCCAGGCGCCCCTAACATTCTTTAAATTTAAAGAGAAGTCCATGTTTATTTTGATTAGGATTGTACTAGATTTAAAAATAACATTAAGAATTGATATCTTTACAGTATTTTATTCTTTCTAGATGTTACTGCCCAATAAGTTTTATTCTTTTAATAAACACTTCTTAAGTCTATTTCTCTTTATATTTTATTGCTATTATAAATTAGATCTCTTTTTTAAATTAAGCTTTTCTAGTGTGTAATTATTGGTATTCAAGAATCTTAATGGCTTTTTTATATTTTATATTTTATCTGGCCATTTATTATTCTATTAAGCCTAAAAATTCTAGCAGATTCCTTGGGCATTTTGTTAGATACATATCAATTGTCTTCGAATAGTGATGTTTTTGTTTCTTCCACTATTTCTCTCTTTTAGTTTTGTTTCATCTCACTCCTTACACTGGCCTGAACTCCCAAAACAATATTAAGTCAAAATGATGATAGAGAGCATGTCTCTAGTAAGATCATCTTAAAATACTCTCTTCATGCCTTAACCTAGTCAGCAAAACTGAGTGGGGCAACAGCAATGACAGAAAGTTTGGGATCTAACAGTGCTGTATGAAAAACTTGGCCTTTCATAAATTTAATAACTTGACTAACTTATGCTTCTTGGTCTCTTGGCTGAGATCTAGTAATTATGATATTATGGTTCTATTAGTAAAACTTAATCAGGAACTGGAAATAAGATGTTTGTCATAAGTTGAAACTATTCTAATTCAGGTTGACATTGCTATACCTATCACAAAATTATAGTTTGAATGTCAGGTTTCTTCCAAAAATCATATTTCATGCTGATTTAAAAGGCTATGTAGCTACTAAGGAATAAATTATGATTTTGAATAGTAATATCAAAAATATTCATTCTTCCAATGTGCTGTGCTTCTAGAAAAAGCTACTAGAAGTCAAAATTATATGAGATAAGCTGAGTTTTCCCATAGAAATAATAGTATAATGAATTCAGAATTGAATTCATAACATGTGTCAAATATCCAAATTTTCCTAGCAATGGCTACAAGCACCATGTTAAATAAAATGTAAATGTCAATTTATTTATTGACTAAGGTAACACAGTTATCTATCATGTGACTTCATATTTCCTATAGCATCCTCATAATCTGCATACATTTCTCATTTTGGGGGGTCATTTCTAACTATTTTAAATGAAGTAAATTAAAGGTGAAGGAACACATTTACCAAGGTCATAAATTGCAGAAGGGCTTTGGAGTGTTGGTTTAGAGTTTGGACAGAGGTTTTGGAGTAAGACATATTTGGGTACAAAGCCTCGTTCTGCCTATTATTCATTTAAAAATATTTAGTGAGTTCTAGATCCTAGGGATACAACAGTAGACAAAACAGACAACATGCTCAATCTCATAGCATTTACATTTTAGTACCACTTTCTGGCCATGACATTTAAAAAAAAATTTATTAAAATTCTAGTCAGTTAACTTACAGTGCAGTATTGGTTTCTGGAGTAGAATTCAGTGATTCATCACTTACATACAACACCCTGTGCTCATCATAACACGTGCCCTCCCTAATACCCATCACCCATCCAGCCCACCACCCCACCACCTCCCTGGCCATGACATTTTAAAAGTTTTTTTTTTTTTTTTAAATATCTCTGGGCTTCAACTTCTTCATTTGTAAAGTAAGAATAACAGGACCTGCCTCATAAGGTCATTTCAAAAATTAAATTAGGTAATGTCTATAAAGCACTTAGCACATATCAGAACTCAATGGTGGTAGCTGGGGAGTGTCTGGCTGGTTAGTCGGTAGAGCATGTGACTCTTGATCTTAGAGTCCTGAGTTTGGCATAGAGTTTACTTAAAAAAACAAAAAAACAAGGGTGCCTGGGTAGCACAGTCGGTTGAACATCCTATTCTTGGTTTCAGCTCAGGTAGTGATCTCCAGGTTGTGAGATTAAGCACCGTATCGGGCTCCAAGCTCACATGGAGTCTGCTTAGGACTCTCTCTCTCCCACTCCCTTCTCCCTCTGCCCCTCCTGCTCAAGCTCTCTCTCTCTTTCTCTGTCAAACAAATACATCTTTAAAAAAACAAAAATCCTGGGGTACCTGGGTAGCACAGTCAGTTGAGCAACCAACTCTTGGTTTCTGCTTAGGTCATGATCTCAGGGTCCTGAGATCAAGCCCCCTGTTGGGCTCCACTCTTGGCAGGGAGTCTCCTTGAGATTCTCTCCCCTTTTGCCTCTGGCCCTCCCCTTGTGCTCTTTCTCTCTCTCTCAAATAAGTAAATAAAATCTTTATAAAAAAACAAAAAAAATAAGTGATAGCTAGTTATCACATTTTAAAGAAAAACTTTTGAAAGAAAGCTTTTTAAAGAAACTTTTGAAAAAAATTGTAAGAAATACTCATTATAGAAAAGAAAATGTTTAAATCATTATCTAGAAAAAACTATTATATACTTTAATAGTTTAATATATACTTCCAGAATTTTTTCTATGCATGTATGTGTGTGTGTGTGTATATATATTTTCTTTAAGATTTTATTTATTTATTTGAGAGAGAGTGCACGAGCATGAGTGGGGGGAGGGGCAGAGAGAGAGGGAGAAGCAGACTTCCTGCTGAGTGGGGCTCTATCCCAGGACCCTGAGATCATGACCTGAGCCAAAGGTAGATGCTTAACTGACTGAACCACCCAGGTGCCCCCGCCATTTTTTTTAAAGCGGGCTCCTTGCCCAGCGTGGAGCGCAATGCAGGGCTTGAACTCACAACCCTGAGATCAAGACCTGAGCTGAGATCAAGAGTCAGATGCTCAACCAGCTGAGCCACCCAGGTGCCCCTATGCATATATTTTTAAAAAGAGAATCTATAGCATATACTTTGAGATCCATTTTGTCCAACTGCCCTTCAGAAAGGTTGAACCAGTGTACACTTCCACCAGTTATATATGAGAGTGCCTGTCTCTCTTTGGGGAAGTTTTACATCAAAATCATATAGTTTTTAGTGTAATCCTTTTCTACAAAATCAAATGTCCTTCCACCTATGGTCCAGTTCCAATTTTTGTTTTATAAAAATGAGTTTGAGGGAGAAAATATTTGCAAACCACATATCCGCTAAAAGCCTTACATCTAATAAGTGTGTGTGTGTGTGTGTGTGTATTTAAACTCTCAAAACTCAACAGTAAAAAAAAAAAAAATCCAATTATAAAATGGGTAAAAGACATGAAAGGATTTCACAGAAGAGGATGTTGGGATGGCAAATAATGACATGAAAAGATGTTCAACATTGTCATCCATTTGATATCACTACACAGCTATCAGAATGACTAAAATGATCACTCAAAGTAATCATACTACTGGTCAGGATGTAGAGAAGTTGGATCTATCATATATTGCAGGTAGGAATTTAAAATGGTACAGCCACTCTGGAAAACAGTTTGGCATTTTCTTACAAAACTAAACATACAATTCAGCAATCACACTCTTAGATGTGTATCTCTGAAAAATGAAAACTTAGGTTCACGTCAAACCTGTATGAGGATGTTCATTGCAGCTTTATTCTGACTAGCAAAATACTGGAAACAGCCGAAATGCTCTTTTTGTGGGTGAATGATTGAACAAACTGTATGATATGCAATGTAATATTACTCAGCAATAGAAAGGAATAAACTATTGGTACATGAAAACAGCCTGAATGGACCTCAGGGGCATTAGGCTGGGTGAAAAAACTCAATCACAAAAGGCTAAATGTGGTAAGATTCTATTTATATTATGTTTTTGAAATAACAGATTCAAAAGAGGTTAGTGGTAACCAGATGACACACACAGAGGGGATGAGGGGGGGAGCACTAACACCAAGTGTTAGCACCAGGGAATTATTCTGCTGAATTTGATATAATGGTGGTTACACAGATCTAGACATGACATTAAATTGTATAAAACTACACCCCCCACACACACACACAAATGAATGCAGGTTGCAAAAATGACAGCAACTGAGTAACATACACCTGTGATTGGTACATCAGCAGCAATGTACCAATGTCAGTTTCCTGGTTTGGGTGTTCTACTACAGCTAAAGAAGAGGACACCATGAAGGGTACATGGGACTCTTTATACTACAGTTGCTACTTCCTAGGAGTTTATAATTATTTCAAAATAAAAACTTTAAAAAATGAATTGTAATTATTACTATGGCTCTGACTTTTTTCCATTTATCAGCTATTTTAAGGGATATTAAAGAATTAGATTTGTCAGGCAGAGATAAGATAATGATGCTATTTTAAAAGCAATCTGACCCAAAAGGAGTATTAGCTTTTAATATAGCTATCTTGGAAGCTTGACTACTTATGCATATGTTTTGGGCCATTGCAGATCAAATATTTTAGAAATCGTCTTTTGTAATTACCTGCAGAGATCACCAGCCATTGGCAAATATGAAACCTATTATTTTATAAGACATACTCTTAAACTATTATATTTTCTTCCATCTCCCTTTACTTCATCGTAGTTCTACATGTTCCCCAGATAAAGATGAGCTTATCTGGCACATATAGGGCACCTGTAAGACAAAGGAAAAGAGGGTTGATCAGTTTATTCTTTCTTTTCAGTCTCTGGATATTTGTGCTTTTAACTTGTTAAAATTTTCCCATGTGATGGAGCATGTGAATTTTCTTTGTCCCAATGCCTTTCATTATCACCAAAGTTGGGATATTTGAAAGAACTTGAAGCAATATTTAGTTCTTTTAATTTTTTTAAAAGATTTTATTTATTTAATTTAGAGAGAGCATACATGTGGGAGGAGGGACAGGGTGGGAGGGTCAGAGAGGGAGGGAGAGGGGCAAGTAGACTCCAAGCTGAGTGCAGAGCCTGTGCGTAGCTCAATCTCACAAAATCAAGAAGTTCTACGCTCAACCAACTGAGCCACCCAGGCGCCCCACATTTGTTTATTTTAAAGCAGTTGAATAGCTAAAACAAGGAAACTTAATTGATTTGTTTTTTTAACTGAAGTTTTCTTGGCTCTTGGTCTTTGGGAATTAAATGCTTCTAAGATATAATTTGAGAATCTCCATGGTAGCTCACAGGATTGTATTTTCTTACTGATGCGGCCAGAAAGTGAGGAAATGGAACTTAAATGTGGGAAAGGAAAATCAAATATTATCACATATTTGTTCAAGGAGGTACTGGTATTGAGACTCAAACTGACCGTGTGGATTTTGCAGATGTTACCTGAAGTCCTCATTTATTTCATGTTGAGGAACTGCCTTTGGTTCAGTGAAATCAGATTTTGAAACACTATATGACTATTCAATAGAAACAAAGTCACAATTTCAAAAGGAATTCAAAAATTTTGATGAACATTACTCATGCTATAAGTTTCTTCAATTGCCCTTAGATTACAAACTCCAAATTAATAAATCTTCTCTAGCCAAGTTGCTCAGTTTTAAGAGAAGCTCAATGAACTGAAAACAATGCCAAATCTCTGATTATTTGAGACGAGTACATTAATCTTGTCATTATACTAAATTTTATGGCTCTCTGGCCTTTGTTTGGATCTATCTAGTTGTAGAAAAGGTATATCCTCTTTTAAAGAAACTACTGAAATTGAGACAGGGAAACTGAATGATTCCATAAAATCTCTGCTTTTTGCTTCTTTTTCCTGCTTCTATTCTTGCTAGGATCTGCACCCCCACCCCACCTTACACATGCATTGTAAATAGTCTTATAAGAGACAAGGAGTTAATGGTTCTCTAGGATAAATAAAATCTGAAGAATGACCAAGTGAGAATGATGAAGGAAGCCATCATATGCTAATTCCACACCGCCAGAAGCTAGACATATCAACGCCAAGACCCTGGCTCCAAGGAATGACACCTGGGCTCTCATCTTTGTCCTAACTGGTTCCTGGGTGCCTGAGATGACATGTCCACCAGACCACAGTCTCCAGTAAAAACCCTAGACCCCGAATGTAGGAGAAACTCCCTCCTTTCCTTTTTGAGTCTCCTGGATACTCACTCTCTCTGTTATCTGCTCTCTCTATATATTTTCACTAAACTCTGCTTTCATCTCCTGCTGGCTTGCATTTGATTTTCATCCTTCATGAAGCCAAGGACCCTCTTGACTGGTCCTGCAGGACCCCGCGGTCCTTGGACCCAGCCTACCAGCATCAAAATGAAAGCAAAAGCCACCTTATTTAATGTTGATCTGGAGTCCAATTTGGGATCAAATATACTTGCAGTTTTAGGCTAGATCTCTAGACCTATACCTGTGTGCTTTGGAGTGATTATTCAGTTTTATAACCATATTTGTATTACAGGTCAAAGCTCTTTTCTTCCTACTCCTCTTCCTCCTACTTCTTTTCCTTCTTCTTCCCCTTGTTCTTCTCCTTTTTCTCCTCCAACTAAGCTCAGAGTGAAGAATAGCTTTCCTGGAATGAAAACGTAGGTGATAATCTAGATGAACTCCAGAGGTGACACATCAATGTCTGTGGTGTTATTCATTTGTGTAGGTGGGCCCAGATCCAAAACAGAATGCATGAATCTTTGAATGCTCCGCTATTTTTTGTGGCTGTTCTAGAAATATATAGGTGTGGGTCTGGTGTCAGTTAAGTCCCTAAATTTTGCAGTAGGTTTGCAATTCATACATATGCATAAAAAATGGAGTTGGGGTTCAAATTCCTTCTTGTTTAGGATTTAGAGGGGTTCCAGTTTATTTCCATTTACCTAGCTGTCAATTGTAATTTCTGTGAAAAAGATTTTTGTACAATTGACCCTTTTCTCATATTCTTTGGTATATGTTCATTTTATTTTTATTATTTTTTATTGCAAAGTAACTCATTGAATACAAAATTATAGATCACATACACATATATAAATAATTTATAATGTAGAAAGTAAAAATCTCCAACCACTTAGAATATCACTCCACCTCTTCCCACACCCATCCTGAAGAAGCAAACACAGTCAAATCTTTGGTAACTTTCCAGACTTTTTTTGAGACTATTCAGGTATACACATTATTTGTTTTCACAAAATGAAGTCCTACTTTACATATTATTATGTAATTTTTTCACTTAATAATTCATAATAATACAGACTTCTGATTTTTAAATGGTGGAGGGGTTTCCATTTTATAACTATTTCAGCATCCATTTAACCATTCTCCTGTTGTTGACATTGAGATCTCATAGTTTGAGCTATTACAAATAGTATTCCTTATACATATAACCTTACACACTTATGCAAGTATTTCTATAGAATGCAAACCTAAAACTGCGAGTTAAAAGCGTTTTTAATTTTGAGGGGTGCCTGGGTGGTGCAGTCGGTTAAGTGAGACTCTTGGTTTCGGCTCAGGTTGTGATCTCAGGATCATGAGATCAAGCCCTGCATTGGGCTCCTGCTCAGCAGGGACTCTGTTTAGGTCTCTCTCTGCTCCATCCCTCCAGCTCCCTCGCTCTCTTTCAAATAAATAAATAAATCTTTAATATATATATATTTTTTTATTTTGATAGTTATGGCACATTGTGATGACATTTATTATTTGACAATTATTTGTCACTCCAAATAGGCTGTCATGATTCACTGTGACACTTCACAAAGTATGAGTTTTCTTTCCTCTTATCCTAGGCAAACCTGAACTTCATCCATATGTTTAACTTTTTGTAATTTTATGGACAAAAATAGAATCTCATTTTTAATTTGCATTTTCCTAATTGCCAGCAAAGCTGAACATCTTTTCATATGTTTATTAGGTGTTATTAGCATTTTGGGTTTTTGTGGACTACTTGTTCATATTTTTTGCCCTTTTCTAATTGGTTATTGCCTTTTATTTATTTATAGGCGGTGTTCTTGTACTAGGAATAGGAATATTTTCTCTGTTACTTCTTTTACAGAAGGTTTATATTTTTATGCAATCACTGCTTTCTTGGGGGGGGTGGCTTCTGAGGTTTGTACCTTACTTAGGAAGATCTTTCCTGATATTATTAAATATTTTATTCTAGAACTTTTACAGTTTTGCCTTTTTTCATTTCACTATTTAATTCCTTTGGAATTTAGTTTTTTAAAAATGTGTGGTATGAAGAGAACTCTAATTTTTTCTCCTAAATGGGTATCCAGTCTACCTCAAACTATTGATTAGTCCATTCTTTCCACAATGGTTTGAAATGACATATTTTTCACACACTAAATTTAAAAGTCATATGTATCTGTTTCTGAACATTATTTTATTGAATTGATCTATTTCTGTGACAATATTACACTATTTTAATCACTATAGCTTTATTGTAAGCTTTGTTAAAATATTCAGTTCCTTCTCATTTTTATTCTTATAATTTGCTTTGTAATCATTGATAATCTATTCAACCAAATAAACTTGGAATTACCTTGCCAATTTCCATTAAAGAATCCTTTTAGTTGGGGCGCCTGGGTGGCTCAGTCCTTAAGCATTTGCCTTCAGCTCAGGTCATGATCTCAGAGTCCTGGGATTGAGCCCCGCATCGAGCCCTGCATAGGGCTTCCTGCTCAGTAGGAGGCCTGCTTCTCCCTCTCCCACTCTCCCTGCTTGTGTTCCCTCTCTTGCTGTGTCTCTCTCTGTCAAATAAATAAAATCGTTTTTTAAAAAAAAGAATCCTTTTAGAGCTTTTAAATTTGAGGTGATCTTTACAACATCTCCTCTTCCCGTCTTGAATCATAGCATGTTTTTCTCTTTTCCTGGGTCTTCTAGAATACTTTCTAGAAAGTTTTATAGTTTTCTTCATCTCTTGTGTATTTTTGGATAAGTTTATTCTGCTGCAGTTGGTAGTTTTGTTGGTAAAACAAATGGGGTCCTTTTTGATTCTAATTAGTTACTATTGGTATCTATGAAAGCTATTAGTAATTTGTATTTTGATCTTATACCTGTTTCCTTGCTAAAATCTGTTTAATAGTTTTTTCTAAATCAATTATTTTGTATCTTTTTAGATACATAAACATGGCATTTTGTTTCATCTTTTCTAGTATTTCTCTCCTTATTACCTGTGTGTGTATGTGTGTGTATGTGTGTGTGTGTGTGTATGCATCTATCTGCCTACAGAGAAAGAGAATGAAACTAGTTTATGTGCCTTACTACAATGGTGAGGGTTTCCAAAACGTTGTTGAACAATATTAATGATGACAAGAATTTTTGTCTTGTTTCTAATTCCAGTGACATTATATCTCTAGTGCTTTAAGATTTCATATAAAGTTTGCTATTGACTTCTTGATACTCTTTATCAAATTAAGTATTTCTATTCCTAGGTTACTAAAATTTTTGTGAAGTGGTAGTATTGCCTCCTCTATCAAAATGAGTAAATGACCTTCACTATATTAATGTTATGAATTAAAGTATTGTATTTTCTGATGTTGAACCATTCTTCCATTTCTAAATTCTATTTGATCATGATATGTTGTGTTTTCCTGTACTGGTACATTTAGTTTAGGTTCTAAGTACCTGTAGTCATGAATGAGATTAGACCAGAATGTTTCATTTCTTTTGTATAATTTTTGTCTGATATTGGTATAAACATTATATTAAACATATATA